CTGTGGACGGATGGACGGACAGACAGACGGACGGACGGACAGACAGACAGGCGACCAAAGATCAGTCACGTGTATCTTGATTATTTGTGCAATTCCATCCTGACCCCTGTGATGGTTTAGTGACTCCAAATGAAATCTGGAGAAAGCCAGAGGAGATCTGAGTCCTGAGACACACAGCCAGAGCAGGAACCCTACTGCCAGTAGACCATCAGCTTTCAACAGTAATCCTGTGTGTGTGTGTGTGTGTGTGTGTGTGTGTGTGTGTGTGTGTGTGTGTGCATGTGTATTTGTCTGTGTGTGTGTGTGTGTGTGTGTGTGTGTGTGTGTGTGTGTGTGTGTGTGTGTGTGTGTGTGTGTGTGTGTGTGCTTGCGCACTACTGTGAATCCACTCCCTCAGTCCCTGGGAGGCTGGATGTTTTTGTTCAGTCCCTGGGAATCGTTTCCATATGTACCTCCCTACATATATTGACTCCATTAAGTTGCTCATACTCCCACTGCTACCCTTCCTCATACAGTCTCCGGGCTGAGAACATTACATGACCTACTTAACATCTGCGCACAGAAGGCCCTGTATGCTGTAGGTAAAACTCCCTCCGAGCATTAGAGCAGTGCGTGTGAGGAATCTCAAACCAAGCTGAGCTCTAAAAAGGGATATGAAATTACAACCATGTAATTAATGACATCTGCAAAAGGCCAACTGGTGGATAAATGACACAAGTCACAGGACTAACATCACGTGCGTGAGCAAAGCACTTTTATCATAGGCTTCTCGACTGCTATGCGGTGAGAGGGGACCAGCTTTGGCTGGGAGTTCCTGAAAGCTGAGTGGAAACCCAGGACTGGACTTCAGGTCCATCGGGAATGGAGCATGTCCATGTTAGTGCAGTGAAGACAGGTGGTCCCAGAGCCTGGTGACCAATGCGGCGGCTTTCACAGGTCCCAGGTCAGCCCTCACTGACCCGCTTGTGGCCTCCTCCTGTGAAATGCAGCTCATCTCGCTGGGTGGAGGATGGGAGGAGCTGCCTATATATGACGGCTCCACCCCGTCAGCACCGCTTCGTCGGCCATTTACATGCGTTACGATACGCTGCAGAGCATTCACGGGTTACCCCCTTCCCATAACACCGCCACTCCTGAGGACATTGTGCTTTGAGCCGCCTGAATTGGGTTTAGCGGAACACAAGGAATTTTCCCCGCGGGATTAGACACACTACACACAAACCCCCTGCATGAAAGAGGCCCTTTTTTCATCCAAATCCACTTTACCAAAGCCTACTTTCACAAAGGAATGTCAGAGTCAATTTAAATTTCAGTCCCTTGGTGCAAGAAAGAATACAATTTCACAATGGGGGGGACGTGGGGCGGGGGGAGGGGCATAATTTTGTGATGTTGATTAAATTTGAGTGTCTAATCTGGGCAGCCACGTTAAGCGGGAGAGAAGAGAATGTTCTGAAGGAATATTTACAGAGAAATCTGCAGATTTAGAGAAAACTCCCGCAGCGAGAAAGAAAGAGGAAACACAAACAAGAGGGAGCGAGGGGGGAAGAAGGAAGAGAGAGGGGGAGCGAGAGGCAGAGCGAGCGAGAGACAGAGCTAGAAAGAGAGGCAGAGAGGGGGAGAGGGAGACAGCATGTGTAAGAGGGAGGTGGAGAGAAATAGGGAGGTGGAGAGAAGGAGGGAGAAAGAGGGGAGAGGGTAAGAGTGTGAGAGAGGAAGAGGGAGAGAGAGAGTGTAAGAGGGAAGGTGAGGGAGAGAAAGGGGGAGAGGGTGTGAGAGAGGAAGAGGGAGAGAGAGAGTAAGAGAGAGGGTGAGTTAGAGAAAGGGGGAGAGAGTGTGAGAGGAAGAGAGGGAGGGAGAGAGAGTGTAAGAGGGAAGGTGAGGGAGAGAAAGGGGGAGAGAGTGTGAGAGAGGAAGAGGGAGAGAGAGAGGGAGAGACCGTAAGAGGGAAGGGTCCTGTGGGGAGCAGTAGCTGGGCCTACCGTCCAAATAAATCTTTACAGTTACAGTCAGGGGTTGTGGTCGCTGTCAATTTTTATTGTCAAAGTTTGTGATCACCGTTGGGGTTTGCGGTCACTGGTCAATCTTTGCGGTCTCTTTTGATGAGACCCGGCTGGCAAATTTTACCTCTTCAGGTTGACCATGGCCCAGGGGATGCCAGTGGGGGTGTTGAACGCGGGCAGCAGTTTCTCGGCCAGCTGGACAGCCTTCACCTTAAACACCTGCACAGAGAGACGAGAGGGAGTTATCGCTGATGTGGGAAAACGGACAGCACGAAAAAAACATAGGCTCCCATGGATGAGGGCCATCTCCACTGCCCCATGTTCATGTGAAAGCTTTACAATCATCAGCCTGCAGCTCCACAATAATGCATGGCCACACCTCCACCCTCATTTAAACGTTTTATTTAGGCCTAATCCAGAATTTCCTCTTTCCTGCAAAACAAGCACTGTGCAGCAAAAGGTGGGCAAAGAACATGTCTTAACCCAGGTCTGTTAGAAATGAGGCACTCAAAATAGGCAAGATGTTGTGCAGAATTTACCGCCGTTAAGGCTCTCAAAAATCAACCGGCAACGAGTGATCTGAAACAAAGACACGTTCCCAAGCACGCGCATCCAGGACTGGTTTACAATGAGGATGTCCGTGTGCAGGTGGTCTGGGGTCAGATGAAGGACAATATGTTCACCACTGATGCGCGCATGTGGTCTGGGCTCAGAGGAAGGACCGTGTGTTCATCGCAAACATGGACAGCAATAAAACAGGAGCCCATCACATTATATGACACTCACCAGAAGCTCTTCCTAATCCAGAGTGCGTTATATAGCCGTTTTACATTTTTATTAGCTATCCATTTACACAGCTGGACATTTACTGAGCCAATTCAAGCTGAGCACCTTGCCCAAGCATTAAACAGCGGCGGCGGCGCACGGGGGAAAATGAACCAGCAGCTTTAGGGTTACGAGTCCTGCTCCTCACTGCTACGCCACACTGCTGCCACGTCCCGACTACAACGGAAAGGGAGTAATGCAAGCTGTCTGCCAGGGAGGAAAAGGTAAAACGATAAAAGCTAATGACACTGAAGGGGGGGAAAAAAAACACGCTAAGCTAAGTATTTAACAGCGGTGAATATTACCGCTCGCTGAAAAGGCTGGGTTTGCAGGAGGCAGCGGGATTAATGAGCACAGAGATGGATTTAAACACAGCTTGCACCATAATCTTCCTCTGAAAGGTATCTCCGCCTCGACCCATTAATCCCGTTATTACACATATGTGGGAATATTAATATTCCCCTGAGCAAAGGCAGGGGAGGGGCAAAGCATTGCGTGTTTATACACTTCAGTGTCTCTGGAGGTTCAGTGCATGTATTAATATGTAATATAACATAAAAGGACCAACAGCACACTGGAAAATCTGGGGTGTAGGTCCTCTGGGAATATGAAAACCGGGAGCTCTGCTAATGCAGCAGATATAATGTGAAATAATACAGACATAAAAATATTAACTGCGCAAATGAATCTGGTAGGACTACAACAGGAAAAATGAAAATTATGAGGTTGTACCTTGGAACCCTTCCTGGATTGTGAGAAGAGTTTCCTTCTCACAAACTTAATCTGCGCATAACTTTAGAAACTCATTCGAGAGAGTGGAAGTAGTAGTCTTATCTACATGTCTGCTGTGCGAGTCATATCTACACATGGTCTCACTGCCAGCTGTTTTCATGGCAACCGTGAAGCAGGAAACGCACAAGACCAAGAAACTACACTGACTCCTCTCGCTCTGGGCCAGGGGAACATGTCATAGCAGGGAACAAGGGGGAACATGTCATACACAAGGTGAATGTCAGCATTAAATGGTGGGGAGAGATCAACAATGGACTGGGTTCTACATCCACAGTAGGGATGTATACTGAGTCTCAGAGCTGCAATCACTGGGCTGGGTTCTACAACTGGAGTAGAGATGTAAACTGAGGACTGTACTCAGAGCTGTAAACAGTAGGATGGATTCTAGATCTACAGTAGGGATATAAACGGCGGACTGTTCTCAGGTCTGTAATCAATGGGCTGGGTTCTGCCCTCAGCGCTGCCTGGCTGTGACAGGCACCGGATGAGATGCTTGCAGACAGGAGCAGAGCAGCGTGGAGCGGCGGGGTGTGGGGACTGTAAACAGCATCAATCACCTTCTGTTTGCGGAGCGAATATTCAACAGCGCTGCTCGGCTGCTTGCTCTCTGGAGACGGGCAATGAAGAGCTCCCAGAGGGCAGCGATAAACTAAAGGGACGTTCACCCCCCCACCACCCCGCAGCAGGGAGTAGCAGTGTTTGCACAGCAGTAAATTCTGCTGCATAACATCAGAGGAGAGGGGCCGACCGCTCGGGGCGAACGCAAGGTCTGGTCCGCATCAGGCCGCGTAGAGAGGCCGGCATTCTGGGGCTGCACTGAGCCACATCGAGCCGCGATAAGAGGTCAAGATGCGGAGACGCATCGACAAGCCAGTTTGCCAGAGCTGCACTGAGCCACACCAAGCCGCGATAAGCAGTCAGCTTGGCTGGAGACGCATCGACAGGCCAGTCTGCCTGGTGCTGCACCAAGCTGTATCGAGAGGCCTGTGCTTCTTGAGCCGCGGTGAGAGGCCAGGTAGCATGGGACCACACTGAGCCACACTTGGAGGCCAGTGAGGCCTTATTATGCTCCTTTCAAGATTAACTTCAGATGGTGCAGCTGATGAATATGAATGGGTCACCTGAAAACTCTAGAAACTTATAAAATTCCACAACCATGCTCATAAACAAAGAGTAGAAATGAGTTTATTTATTTTTTTTTTTTACAGCTTCCTGTGGCACAAGCACTATGTTGTTCCCAATTGTTCCTGAAGCCGAGCATTGTGATGTTTGTGTTTCTCTCCCTCACTCTTTTCTACCCAGGACTACCTGTCTCTGAAGGCCACTACATTACTATTGCTAAGCAGGCACTATTATCCAGAGTATTTCAGAGTGTAAAGGAAATCCTCATTAGTACAGTGGTGAGTATCTGTGCCTGTCACGCGGGAGACTGGGGTTCGATTCCCCAGTGGGGAGCCAGATCTCAGGCTGCAGTATAGCATAGTGGTAAGGAGCAAGACTCGTAACCGAAAGGTTGATGGTTTGATTCCCCACTGGGGTACTGCTGTTGTACCTTTGGGCAAGGTAAACCCCAAATTGCCTCAGTAAATATCCAGCTGTATAAATGGATGACATGTAAAAAATTGTAACATATGTACGTTGGTATGGATAAGAGCATCTTCTTATCCATACCAATGTCAGTAATGTAAAGCTTACATTTTTACACACTAATGATTATACTGTGTCAGCTGGATGTTTTACTGAAGCTCTACATGTCTTATATTTCTCAAAAGGCACAACAGCAATCAGCAAAATCCCACCAAGGCCTACACCCTTCTGCTTCTGAGTGCAGTCCTTTAACCAAAGCTTACACATATGCAGAGAGCACATACACGTGCACACCTACCTCCTCTCCAGACAGGTAAAAAGCAGCCAGCAGGCCCCCGATGAAGCGAATGTTGACCTCGAAGACAGAGACCTCTGCATTCTGCAGGAAAGAAGAAAATGTGAAAGGTCAAAGGGTGAAGGGAAGCTCAGCAAAAGCCTTCAGAAGGAGAACACGATCAGTTGGTGGCACCTAAGGGCACTCTGAGCTAACACCTGCTTTTCTTAGGGAGACAGCAAACACGCTACTGATGGATAGAGCAAAAGAGTGCTATATGCAAACACACAGGCACATACTCAATAATCAGTCTATTTTTCAAAATCAAATCCATCTCCCTCAGAATGTACTTCAACTGAGCATCCAAGAACTTGTCAGACTCAAAGGTGCACTTTCAAACGTTAAATACAGGCTGTACTGTGGAGAAGTCACTCATGTGCCTTTTGGGCCTGTGAGACTCAGGGAGGTAAGATTTCAGAAAGTGGAACTCAGGGCAAAAACAGTTGAAACCGTTGCCTCGCAGACAGCAACACCAGTGAGGCCTAAACTCCTAGCGATTTCCTGAGGACGTCTCAAGCTGTAACTTCTGCTGAGCGCAGCTGAGGTCGCGGCATGAAACTGGAGACACTCTTCCTGAAAAATCACCTGCTGTAGTGACAGGCACAGGTCGTTTATATTCACACCAAACACAGCGACCCCCCCCGTCCCCTCACACTGACGGGAGGGGACAGGGGGTTAATTGCCTTTTCCGCTTTCAACATCTCACTTTACAAAGAGCCCCTCACCAAAAGCAACTCCTTCATTTCCACTCCCAGAGCTCTGCAAGTAATGCCCGAGGCAGGCCTTCAAATGTCTAACAACATTCTCATTATGGCTGAAGTATGTATTTATTAATTGAAAGCAAGAGCTGTGGAATTATAGGCTAGGAGTGAGAGACAAACAAGGGAGAAAGATAGGAAGGCATGAGAGAGGGAGGGAGAGAGAGAGAGAGAGAGAGAGAGAGAGAGAGAGACAGATATATGAGAGAGACAAGGGAGGAGAATCATTGGGAAATGTAAATATTTTAGCACCAATTTCTTTTTCAAGGTCATTTGTATAAAATATATGCAAGAAAAAGCCAAGGTCCCTAGGGAACTCTTACGACGTTCATCTTAGAAGCGACAGCTCTTATTTAAACTCATTGCATTTGTATTATACATCGAAGCAGAATTTCGGAATTAAAGGAACAGTCAACCCAGGATTAGCCAGTCTACCTCTGAATTATTTTTGCTTGTTTAGAATAATTCTTTACATTTTTTGCACCATTTCTAATTCACACCTCCACAGTGTGAAAGCTGTCCCCAGTCTGTACTGTGAATTCTCTCAACATATTAAAATTGTCCTGCCTAACACTGAGTATGTTATTGTACAGAGCAGGTGGCTTTGAGTTGCCAAAATACCTTGAATATGAACATCTTGTATGACCACATATGACCACAACCGCTGGCTCCACATCATAGAACAATATTCTATTAGAACTCTTACAAAAAAGTGTATACGTGGATTTGCCTCTTGTAAGGGAGAGAACTGAAAATCTATTGCACCATCCGATGGCACTTGCTCAAGTGTTTATTTCCTTATAAGTGTTCTGAGTTTACAAAAGAGTAATTAAAGTCACCTGTTGTTAATATTTGCTCTTCAGTACAGAATTTCACTGACCTGAAATCAGATATTTAACTGCCTGTGTGTGGCAATTAGGGTGTGTGTGTGTGTGTGTGTGTGTGTGTGTGTGTGTGTGTGTGTGTGTGTGTGTGTGTGTGTGTGTGTGTGTGTGTGTGCATGTTTGTGTCTGTGTGCAGTCATGTATAAACCCACACACACACACACACACACAGACATGCATGCAGAAACAAACACATATGCACATGAATATACAAACATACACACAAACATGTACACATACACTCATGCACACACACACACACACACACACACACACACACACACACACTCGTGTACACACGCATGCGCATGCACAGACACAGAATCACGTGCACACAGACACACACGCGCACAGACACAGAGACACACTCACACACGCACAGACACAGACACACACTCACACGCGCACAGACACAGACACAGAGTAGGGGCTGCTGACTCACCACACTGAAGTCCAGGTTGTGCTCAATCCACTCCTTCCCATCCTTAAACTCGTCATGCAGACCCATGATGTACAGGGTGTCCAAGGCGTCCACAATGGTGGCTCCCATCTGGGAGTTCCCTGCAGAGAGAGAGTACAGAGTGAGCAACTACTACAGAGCCAATACATCAAACGCATGACATTACTACAGAGCCAACACATCCAGCACACAGTAATACAGAACAAAATCATCAAAAATATAACATTACTACAGAGCCAATACATCAAACACATGCTAACACACAGCCAAAACATCAAACAACATTACTACAGAGCAAATACATCAAACACATACTAACAGAGAATGAATAAATCAAAAGCACAACATTACTAGAGCCAAAACATCAAAACCAACATTACTACATGTACAACACATCACCAATACAACATTACTACAGTGGCAATGCCAACACATGACTACCTATAACCGTATAAGTAGTACTGTGAAATCAATGCAACACAAATGTCTCCCTATCTATAGCTTCACAGCAGAATCTATTAGCCAGGTCAGATTTCTTGCTTTAATAGTGCTTCTTAATAATAATTTAACAATAAATTAAAACCTGAGGTGAACCAAACCTCTTGTTCACTAAACAACTTCATTTTAACAACCAAGAGCTGAGACAGAGACAGCAGCAGAGCCTGTGGACACCAGCACAGCAACTGCCACTTACCAACCATGCCCTCACTGAACACTGTACCTGTACACACAGCCTTACTCTCCCTGAACACTGTAACTATACACACAACCACAAGGGACACTGTACTAATCCACATGGCAACCATATCCTCACTGAACATTGTGGCTACACATATGACAACCACCTCCTCACCTCCTCTGTGTGTCAATGTGTGGGCATCTGTGTGTGTGTGTGTGTGTGTGTGTGTGTGTGTGTGTGTGTGTGTGTGTGTGTGTGAGAGAGAGAGAGAGAATGAGTAAAAGAGCGGGTGTCTTTGACCATCTTCAAAGAGCGTCAGAATATATCTTCATTGAAGTCTTCATCAATAATGTACACAGTAATCTAATCTCATTTTCCTTTCTTCTGTCTCATCACTCACCCAGTCAGTAAATCACTCCATCTCTCTCCTCTTTCTGCCTCTTCTCCCTCTCTGAAGCCCTAATTGCTGTATTTCTGCAGCAATTAATTGCGTAATAACAGTTAATTATCAGAGCATCAGGTCTTATTTACTGTGTGCATTGTTAATCAAGACTGTGACTCAGGTCACGCTCTTTTGCTCTTCCCCTCTCTCTCTCCTCTCTCCTTCTTTCCCTCTCTCCTCCTCTGCCTTTGTCTCCTTCTCCCTTCTCTCTCTCTCTCCAAGTCAGATCTGAGAGGATTCTAGCCAAAGCTCCCTCATACAGTCTCAGTACTGTTCGTCGCCACAGAAAGAAGGAATAAGCCTGAAACAGAGGCCAGTAGGGGGCAGTGCACTGCTACAGAAGGCTGTAACCTCACACCTCATACATGTATAATGCATTAACTGCCTGTTCACTACACCTCATCCCAGAGGAAACATGGCAGCTACACTGGGCAGCAGTGTGGCACAGCGGCGAGGAGCAGGGCCCGTAACCCAAACGCTGTTGGTTCGAACCCCAGATGGGACACCTCTGTTATGTCCCTCTGCGGGGTACTTGCCCTCCCTCCCTCCCCCTGAGCAAATATCCAACTGTGTATGTGGACAACATGTAAAAAACTGTAAGCTTTGCAAGTCTCTCTGGATAAGAGTTTCTGCTCAAGAAATGTACTGAAGCATTGTTCATTTGCTCAGACTTCTCATTGTTCATTCTTTAACTTCGTCAATTATGTTCATTCATCCCTTCTTTCACTTGATACTCTTAGTGGACTACCGGTTCAGTCATTCACCTGATGCCAAAGTACTGCAGGTGCTCTGATAACAGTGTGATACAGGTCAGGGCCTGGCATTGCGAATGGGCGACACTACAGCACACAGAGGAACCCCATTCCTCTACTGTCAAGATACTAGAAACAAATTTCCAACTGGAGATATTCCCAGTTTATGATCATATTTCAGAGGCCCAGTACAGCCAGCAGGATCATTTTTCATCCCAGACAGAGCACTTACCTATCCAATAAGACCCAGTGTGGGCCGGCTATGGCCAGTATGCATCTTAGTAGGGGTGAGCGATCTTCCCAAAAAATCATATCACCATCTTTTTAACACACAATCGCAATCCACGATCTGAATTGCGATCTTTCTTCCCAATTTTGAAATGTACTGTCGAGAATATCCAGACTCGAACAAGCCTATGGACTTATCTATTTGCACCATTTAAAACACAATATTGCAGTTAAAGACAGTTTTCAAAATGGTAATTAAAACCTGAGTTAAACTTCTCAGTAGAAAAAAATGGTAGTGGTAAAATGTGAAAAACTAAAAAGGGCGTAGTAA